AAGGTGGCGCTTCTAGTGTTCCCGCACGTGCATGATTGTGTCGAGCTGCACATCTGTTCCTTCATCCATGATCGAGGGACGATACCCATTAATGGTTCCCACCCAGCGGTCGGCCTTGTATTACATTGTCCTGTTGTTCCTTTTGCCTCTTCAATTGTTTCATTATTTGGTGTTCATAACTTCTATGTGATCGATCTGGTCTGTTGTTCTACCCAATATTGTTACTAAAAGCATTTGTTATCTTTAATTGATTAAAATAGTTCCAGTTGTGCTTTGTCTTTTAACATTCATTAATATACGGTCTCATATTCCACTTTGAGTACGTGCAATGTTAGTACATAGATATAGTTCATGCTTCCTTCCGCGCGTCCGGTGCGTGCCCTGTGATCATGCTCTCTAGGAAAACGCAACAACTAGGGCACCACGATACACGTGCATCTACTCCTAGTCCTACTGCTATGAGAGAGCCAAAGAGAACACAAAAGGCAAGCGGCCACGCTAAACTCTTCTAAACAAAACTAATTCTCCGCTTTCAAGGCACGCTGCTTTTGAATAGCTACAAACCAGTACCCTCAGTGATGATATTATACATGTTTCTCTAGCGTAAAAAATATGTTTCAATTATTGCCTTGACATGTTGCACCAATGTGTTGCATCGATGAGTTTATAGGTATGTTGTTTCACGAATACAATATCGAAGGTTCCGATTTGAAAAGTATAGCTTTTAAGTGCAAGACTGAAACAATCTTTTTCCTCGTTAGAGAACAACACCATATTAAGGCAATATAATACATACATTTGATTTCATCATTTTTTTTAATTTTTGATATTGGGCCTGATGAAAATAATTGATCTTGTTTTAACAAATTAAGCTAAACATTTTGTTTCGCAAGCCTATACAAAAGTTTCAGAAATGCGAGTTTTAGTACATAATACACCATTGTCGTGTGATGACCGGTCAGGCCATGAGTTTTTCTTTTGGACTGGAAGTTATTTAATTAATCATTTATAGAATTTATATTAATGTGCAAGTCATTTGACATGTAAAGTAAAGGAGGGAACTAAACTTTCCTTGAATAAACCATGTTTGGAGTATTTTCATGTGATTCGCCATCCCTAAAATATTGTCTGAAATTTTCTCGGAACTCAACCTTTAATTTTAACGATGCCAATGGTTACGCCTTTTTCTAGAACTCTTTGGCCATATAGTTACACGGAAAGGATTGGTGCGTCTAGCTAGACATATATGCTAACATCTGATGGCATGTCGAGACAGGTGCACGCGTACAGTCATTCCATGGATCGCATACAATAGCTACTAAATCACATTAGTTGTTGCAAAGCCATGACAATAAAAGATAGAGAGGATGTTCTCCCAATGACCTGTAGGGTGAAACGGAGCTTGAGACAACAAGTTCTTCCACATATATAATTTTTTTTTGGGGTCTTTCAATTTTCGTTCGTTATAAATATGTAACGGGAATTTTACTTTTGGTATATCATTACTATCCCCCAATGTTCTGGGACTATCTTCATTTAGAAAAATATATCGCAGCCCATTTGAGATATTCTACAGGACCGGGACGACGATCTAAATCTTTTTCTTTTGTCATCTGAGAACATTTTTGAAAAAAAAATTAAAGGCCTACATTAGATAATCACATGTCTTTGGATTAGCTAGAACAAGATAATGCTAACCTACACATTATGGAAACCGAATGTTCATGGTACTGTTTAGCACATCAAGCAGGTCCAAGTTGTTGTTTGCCAGTTTGTGCAGCCTATCAAGTAAAATATCATCGCAATAGAATAGGTCGTGTTATACGTGTATGGCAAATTAGGTAACAGATTAATGGCGCTAAGCTTAATTCATGACATGACTGCCATTTAGGCTGGAAGTGTAACAAGAAAGCATATTCTTACAATCCACCATCCAAATAAAAAGTGACCAGTAGATACAACGGAGGACATAGATATTTATTTGAATTATTTAAACGCATGGTATCATGTACGTAGTATATAACATGATATATATATATATATATATATATATATATATATATATATATATATATATATATATATAGCTCCTTTGCTATCATGTACGTATTATATAACATGAGCATATGGGTAAGGAAAGTCATCTCAAATCCACACCAGTTACCCTCAATATAAACGGTGCTAATGGCCTATAACTAGACCATGGCTCTGCTCCAGTATGAGCACTGACATTTTGACCTTCATGATCACTGGAAGAAACCAGGTCTGTATGAGGGAAAAGAAATCAAACCGAGTCTTTCAGAAACAAAATATAGAAATTTAAACAAGATGGAATAAATTACATGTTTTGTTACACATAGTTGCATCAACCCAAGCATTTTGACACCATCAAACCCAAGCATATGTGAAAATTCTGCTGCATAATCCAGTGCATTATCACCTGCTATAGTTTTCCAATCCTTGAAGATCCTTCATAGAACCAGAAAATAGGATTATGGCTGTTGCAGTTAAAAGAATTTATAGGTTGCTATTGCAGTTAAAAGAAGTAACACGCTGAAAAATCCATAGAATAATTAATGCAATTTTAGAGGCAATATAAATCCCAAGCATACTCTGATTTTGGCATTCCTTTGCCGTAAGCCTTTTGAACCTCACTCCCAACCTGAAAATAAGTGTTAAAATAGAAATTCTCAATCAATTAATTGTGGAGGGCCTAGAAAGAATTACAAACAACAGAAAAATGTTTTTTTGTTAATTTATTTTGACATGCACCATCTCTGAATTAAATATACCTTCAAATAAGTGGCAACAGCCCGTCGCACCCTCGCCACGCCGCGCCCTCGTCGTGCCCGCCGCCGGCTGTCGGCCACCGCTGCTTCCGACTGTGCTCACGAGATAAAGAGGAAGAGGGGAAGAGGGGAAAGAGAGAGGTGAGAGAGTATGACAGGTGGGGCCGTGACTGAAAGGGCAAGAGTGACATTTTTCATGTCCGGGCCTATACGTGGCTATTTTCATACAGCCTCTTGGCGTTTGCTATCCGTTTAATATGCTTGGCAAATGAACTTGAATTAGTACAAGTGGATCTCTAGATTTGTATGTAGAAGGTCGAGATGTTTGCAAATGACATATGAGTTGAGTTGAGTGATCTAGAATTTAGTTCCTACTGTGGAATATGGATAGCTCCAGAAATTGATTTTTTTTAGTCCATTTATTTTAAGCTCTACTATTTGTTAAGTTTATTCTCAAAATATTTAATTTATAGTATTATCCACAATAATTGGAGTGCAAAACTGACCAAATTAAAGTTGCCATATGTTCATCTGGAATCTGAAAGCTGGCCTTGGTCTGCTTCATTTTGGTGTGACCGGAGCCCGTACTCACCGTTAGCTACCATCCCCAACCTGCCCTAATCTTTCTCCAGGTTTTGTTGCTAGCACTCGATCTGTACACGCTGTGGGATAATTGCTTGTTGACAAGGAAGATCAAATCCTGATGGTGGAAGAATGGCACCCCCTGTGCTTCAGCTAACAATCTGATTAGTTTCCTAGATGCTTGATTATTGATTTTATGTGTGATCATTTTATTTTGTTTTTGTATCAGGGTTGCATAGAGTATAAAAGCTTTGTCCCCCTATGCTTGCACTGAGAGACTCTTCCGTAGCTGTCATCGCATACGGTGTTGCAAGTATGTTCTCTATTATCTCCATGTGATTGCACGGGTAGCATATGTATTCTCACTAACTGCTCTTACACTAACAATTATGAATCAGACTAGCAGAGAGAGTTTCCAAGCAAATTTGATGGCACATGTCCACGAATTGTGATTTTTAATAGTTTGCATTATAAATGCTCATCTTGTCCTGCCTCCTTTTTCCCTTAAATTTATTTACATGGTGCGGCAGTCAGTATCCTAAACAGTTAAAAATAGGACTCACTAAATTGAAGAAAAAACAAATAGCTCTACCTTGCTTATGATGGTCCTTCATATTGGAGCACATCTTCCATGGGTCTGTAGCAGCTCATCCTGCTCAAGGTTGACTATATATGAGTTTTGGTCAGTGAAGGGGATGTAATTAGTAATGGAATTAGAACATAGGTAACACTCGAGTTAATTAGTGCTTTGCTTGCAGTTTCAATGCTTACACCACAATTTCATTCTCTGCAATTACATTCACATTTTAAGCTTGGTCTTCTTCCCTACTCCCAATCACCAAACTCGTTTTTTAATGAAAACACAACTTGGTATTTGCAAGTTCTCTATCTGTTTTTTTGCAATAGGAAAACTGTTACATGTTCTAGACAAAAATATCATTTTTAAGAACCGTAACAAGCTTATGGATGAACTTTGACAGGTTCCTTGACGAAATTTGAAGATGTAACCCGCCACCCACGTTTCGCAGCCATCGCCCATTATGGACTTGCCAAGTTTCTGGTGGTGCCCATTGTGGATGAAATTACTGATTGCCTCAAGTACTCAAGTTTCATGAGTATAACAAAGATTACAGCTTGGGTATCTGTAAAGTGGTTATGTTGAGATAAAGGACAATAATGTGAGATTTCTGTTTACATCTCAAATGTTCCCTTTAATTTTTTTACGCTACTTTCTAACTTGGCCTTTCAGTTTAAATCTCATAATATGCATTGTTTCTTTTATCCAGGATTGAATCTTCTAGCCTCTACAAAACTGAATTCATATTTCTCTCCTCTTCATTGTTAGTGTAAACAATACTCTATTCAATATATGTCGACGTGTCTGGCACGTGCACGTTAACTAGTGATTAGTTGTGTACTAGTCGATGGTACTATGAGCATGCAGTAATTAGATTTACTCGTTTCGAGATTGGACAGCTACATATGCTATGTATAATTTTTTTTCTCAGTAACACAGATTTGTAGAAAAAATAAAGGTATGCCGCGTACTTGTTCTTCGTATATGTTCCGTAAACGCAGTTTCGTACTTTAGACTTTTCCATTTCCGAGTAATATCAGGTAGTCAAAATCTGCAGGCTCAAATATTACTTTATTCAAATTTTATTACTATATAATAAGTAGTACATAATACATACTCACTGCAGTGAGTACCACATATATATATATATATATATTCACTAGGACCCCTTATTACAATTATTTATGCGGAGAGGGGCCAGACCGCCAGAGGAAGCGAAGCAGCGGGCGCCTTATTTGGCGCATGTGGCTAATGCCTCTTTCAGGCATCCAGGCGCCGGAGCCCAGCCACACTGGTTTTCGACGTGGTTGACGCACTCTTTAATGTGACCTGGGAAGTGACTGGCTATGTAAATTAATATTGCTTTGCTCAGATGGCCAAAGATAAATTTCTCTTCATCGTTGGCGCGATCACCTAAACAAAAGAAGAAAGAAAAAGCATATATGCACAAGTAAGGACAGTATATATATATATATATATATATATATATATATATATATATATATATATATATATATATATATATATATATATATGCAGATGAAAAGATCGATACTACAGTACTACTTAAGAGATGACAAGATGATGTACCTGTACCACCAGTCCCACGGGCGCTGCCTCCAGCGGCAGCGGCGGCCGCTACCTCCGTCATTAGGAGAATGACGATAAAAACAGCATACGCGACCTTCTTTGAGTCCATTGTCTGACTCTTGTTAGTGGCTGGCAGTAAGTACAGTACGTGTGCGCTCGATTTTGATCCCTCCCCTGCCTGCTGGGTGCCCATATAAATACTACTACTCCGATCCACTTCACACAGCGACCAACATTAATTGAACATGCCCCATTAATTAACTAGTAGTACAACTCCACATGCCCGCTAGGAATCAGTATCTTCTGGAGTAGTAGTAGCTAGCTAGCTCCCGTGTAGCATTAACTTTCTGCCTTCAATCATTTTACATCATTGAAGGAGAGTTTCATTATTTTGGTATAAGAGCAAGTTAAATCTGTACGCAGTTGGTGCAAAGAGAGTGACAACATGTTGGGTAAATTTGTTTAAACAGTTGGAAATTAGCCAGGTAAATAATATATAACAGGAATAAAATTTAAGATTGCTGGTGTCAATAGATAACATTTGATGTCCAGAACTATGTAATAAATTCAACATTTTCTAAATAGCCTGTCATTTTCGTTGGTCAGGAAAACATCTTGATTTGTTGACCACTAATTTCAATATAAATATATTCGTAAAATAGATGAAACTACAATGGTACCATCGAAGAAATATATTCAAAAATGATATTAATGCTCGACATTGTGTAAGTTTCTTTTCCTCTCATTAGATGGAGGTACGAGGTATATGCCTATTTAGCCAAGCTTCCTTATAATTTTGTTCAAATTTGAACTGGTCCCCAATCTTTTTTTTTTTTGAAAGAAATCATCCTTTTCAAATTCCAAAGGCTCCAGTACTGACCTCAGCCATTGCCTATCTCTATTGTCATGAATGCCACGCTGTTCACCACCACTGTCCTGCAAAGGATAGACAAAATTCACAAAATTAGCGCATTTCTTTCATAAATAGCAAAAGTAGACCAAGAATTCAACACTACTACAAAAACAGTGTCATCCACCACCCATCAAGTTAAGATCTAAACCATTAGTTGTTTCCACCAACATTTCTATTATTGTAATAACTATTACAAGACCATAAGAAAGGTTTCTCATGTTTAACGCAGATTAAGCAGTCTGATGTGTTATACCTTCATTCCTATCAACAAAGACAACATTGACACATAATTTGCTTTGGCGCCAGTACCTAATTAAGTAGGATGCGATTTTTTTTTTCAGTGTAATGTTTATCGTCTGCAATTGGTGATATATGGGAGCTACAAACTTGATTCCGAGTTAGTTATGAAGGCATCATTGGCAAATCCTACCATCGCAGGTGCAGTGCTTTTGACCTGATTCACAATCCTGATATCGCATCTAGAAGGCAAATCTTCGGACTAAAAAAAAGTTGAGCCATTATAAATAGAAACGAATGGTAAGTAAATTCTTGTTTGCAATGTTACATGTTTGTTAAAAGTATCACTGATCCAAATACAGTTTAAATGTATACCTGCTGTCCTCGCAACTTAAATGCATTTAAGCAACTACAGCATCCTTTGTTTGTGAATCATCGCTCCACAATTATTACACCAGTATATCACAAGTATTCTTTTCATCCTGCCGTCAGTCAATACGAGGTCAATGTTTTTGAAGTACCTTTTTTACCAATCATCTTTGATCAGAACTGACCTGAATTGAAATTTTGAATGCATCCATACAACCGAATTGGCTAGGGCATGATAGCAGTTAGCTGTTTGAATATGATCTGGTGCTTAAATTTATGATCTAGTGCCTAAAATCTTAATTGCAGCCTTTAATGTGTCTAATTTATTCAAAACTGAACATGTGACACATAATAGACCATTATATTCCAAATGCAGTTGATTCTCTTACTGATTCATGTCACAAATTTCAAATCCATACTATTCTAGAGATGGAGTTTCCATCAAGAAGGTTATGGTTCTTGCCACGCCAATCTTATGAAAACAAATATATAGTACTAACAATAAAATATTCGGCAAACATTTTTTCCGAATGTCAGCCATTTACAAAATTAAGCATGATCTCTTCGTACTGATTTTTTTGTGGCTCAAATTTGTTGGTATTATAGATTAAAACAAAAATCTAGGTTTACAGAACCAATCTTAGCATGGGGTTATGATCATGTTTCTTACTATGAGTGGCCGGAGTGGTTCATGGTCTTCTGAGTTTTCCCTGATGACCAAGGATGATAGCACCACGTTGAAGACGATAGGATCTTATTTATTCTTTTGCCTTGAATAGCTCCTGCACAGCATACAATGAGAATCATCGTTTTGTAAACTTAATCAGAGTAAGAACAGCAATACCAAAGTGATATTTGCAATGCAGATGATTCTCAAAGTTCAATTCTCAATCTCCACTTAAAGCAACATAAAAATGTACTACCAAAGTCTATCACATCACAAGTTCCCAACCAAAGGAGAAATGGGAATTATAATACATGAATAAAATATAGCCCCAAAATCAGAAAGACAGTTTTTTTTTTTTTTTTTTTTTTTTTGAAATTCCAATAGCTCGGCATTCTTGAAAACACTATAAATCAGAGCATGGTCATTTAATGCTTGGACTATAGCAAAAAATAGAAATATTCAGAGTAAATGACTATTAAGCAAAGAATGTTATGATTTCTAATATAACAAAGATGGGAATATGTAGAGAACTTTCGAGTTTCGTTTTTCATCAAGACCTCAACCAAACTGCTACAAAATATGTGGTACTAACTACTAAAATAGGAGAATCCTTCATTGATAAAAAAAAATCTAAAAAGATATTGTAGGTAGAAGCAGAATTACAGCAACCATGTGCTTGATCTTCCTCACAAGCAACTCACAGTGCTTCATCCACAACATTTCAAAGATAGTAGCATACCACTAAATAGTGCCTCTTTAATCATACCAACAAATGTGATATTATTACCAGGATCCCACAACGTGATGACACTGTCAGCTGCAACCAAAAAACAGATCCCTCACTTGAAAAAGTTGCGAATGTCATAGGTTTATTCCTGCAATTTTTTACTTTTCTATGTCATCATTTACATCATTTGCCAGAAATGGCAAATCATTTTATGGCAGCCTAAGCACGTGGTATACAAGTGCCAACAGTATATATGGTATGGCATCCTTGACCATTAAATATTAGAGGTATTGTTTAGAGGAAATTAAATAATCAAATCAACTCACTTGTATGAACCAACCAATTGACATCCCCAACCAGATTGTTTTTTTTTTCATCACTTGGTTGCGAAAGCATACTTTGGACCCAAACCTACAGATTAATTGGTCACAAGAGAAGCAAATGAAGACCTCACGGCTTGAGCCGTGTTTTTTCCAGGGCGGGAAGCAACAATAGAAATAGCAACATTGCTGTGTGAAAGAACTAAACCAAATGATAGTAAAAACACAAGAAATATATTCCATTTGACCTTATAAACATGTGCCAACCTATGCGGCAGGTTGAAGAGTACATATATAGTAACAATTTGAGAGGTAGAGACAAAACAAAGTTAGAACATCTAAAATAAAAGTCCATATGCACCTTTCATTAGAGGCTTAGAGTATTGAAAAAAAAAATCCCAATCTATCAGCTTTCAGGAGATGCGATAGCCTGCACAACCCAAAGCATGACGGTCAAAAGACGAGACAATCCAATACTCAGGTTGCCTTGACCAACACAAGATATTATTTAAGTTCATACCCTTGCAACAGGAAGAGGAACATCGATGTACCGTGGCCATTCGCCTTGACCAACACAAGATATTATTTAAGTTCATACCCTTGCAATAGGAAGAGGAACATCGATGTACCGTGGCCATTCACATATTGTCTCATACATCAGCTCAGCCTGTAACATCCAGAACATTTTTATATAAAAAAACTCTGACCAACCAACTTGAAGATTCGTTCATTGCTGCATAACAAAATGTTGTGCATGATAATTACCAGATCATGAACAGTATAAATCTCTGGTCCACCAAGTCCGTAGCTCTTTCCCATGCTGGTGCCATCATCCTTGAGGGAGTTGACAATAGCAGCAGCAACATCCACAACATAAACAGGCTGAATCCTGCAAAAACCAAAAGGTTGCATTCATGTAATCTCACCTGCTGTGGAAGTTTAAGATGCAGGTCCCCATTGATTGCCTATGACTGATTAAAAGCCGTAATGGCTTATTAGTGATAAAAAAAGTAATTTATGAGTAAAACTTTTACATGTGTCCTTAGTGGCTTAAATAAAAGCTAATGCTGAAAAAGAAACTACGTTGTAAAAGCATCAAAACCAACTTCAAAATCAAGTTTTAAAATTCAAATCAAGCCATAGGGCAAATGATGAGGCCTGTATTCTCTGATCAATTAATGTTCTAGACTAAATTTTGAGTCAAGGGATTACGACAACAGCCAACAGGAAAGCTCAATTACTTTGTAGACCGGGAATCAATTTTTAGCAAACTGTACCCATCTGTTCAAAATCCGATCTTCTGTGCCAATCATAGTTGCAGGCCTCATAATTGTAGCCTGTTGATCCATGCAACACAGAAGTTTGGTTAAAGTAACCGCCAACATAAATGGGACATGTTTGCTTCTAACTTTGGGTAGTATAGAAACAGAAGTTCAGTATTGCCTAATGCAGATGATCACCTCAGGAAATTCCTTCAACACAGATTCTTCCCCAGCAGCCTTGGCCCTCAGCATTCTAGAAGAAGAGGCCGATGCTCCTAGGCAAGAAACCTGGATAAATCTCATGAAACCCCCATGCTCCTTTGAAACCTGTGCATAGTCCATAACACAGTTAATAGCCAGCCACAAAAGAAGTCTTGATGGGAATTAACACAAAAGAAGTGTTAATAGCCCGCTGCTCTAATCTCTCCTCTTTTATCTGCTCTTATCTCTCCTCTTTTATCTTCCTCAAATATGTTTATAGCTGGCTTATAGTCTGCTACTGTATCTGCTCTAAGAAGAGTGAAGGTGTCATGTGGGGCGACATGTGCAGCAAGCAGCAAAGATGGAAGCCAGGCACATGCGCAGCAAGCAGCAACAACACAATCAAGGATTAGAGATTTGGAAAGTTTTTCAACAAGGAAAGTCTTAATTAGGGAGAAATAATGATTATTTCCTTGTACTAGGGAGGTCAAGTGCCCATATAAACTACTAGATGTGGTTGCGCGGCGTGCCGTGAGAGTTGTCACAAATTTGAATAAATTGATTTATAACTTTTTTTTACATTAGGTTTGTACTGTTATCGATAAATATTTAAGTTTTTCTTTAAGTTAAGAATTGTTGCTTTACTTGAAAGATGGTAATTTTTCATAGCTTTTTTTTTTGAAAATATGTATAATAAGTATTTGTTTGCACGTTTTCCAATACTGAATACGCTTCTTTATTTACCTTTATTTTTACTGACCAATCAATGAGTTGTTGCCGGCTCTGTGATAATCTTTTGAACTTGAGGGCCTCAGCATTCTGTTAGGACCTAGCACTGAGTGTATAGAACTCGTATATGAATAGTTGTAAAAATGTAATTATAAGTTTTAAATATTGCATTGATAATACATAGAATCCAAGGCGCATTCCTAGACGGATATAGTATTTTATAGACATAGTTAACAAATCTAAAAGTTGTAGTTTTGATAAGTAGTGGATGCAGAGTATGTGCAAGAAGGTGGGGGTTAATAAAGATGAGGTAGTTTTTTTTTTCCACCTGTAGTAATTGTGGCTATGAAGTGTTTGTTTGCAAACAATACAGTGGGCTGTTGTGGTGCTAACATCTTTTTTTAATTAGTAATTGTATGCGAATGTGGAAAGTGTAGTGTATCCGAACATTATTTTGTAGGATGTAACTTTACTAAGAAAACCTACATCCTAAGTTTCATGCATACTACACACATCATATATAAACTTCCCGTGGGTCTATCTGGCTTGAATTTAACTCGATAAATTTTATCAAAAGGAAAATAATCTGATCTATCTTGATTATTTGAATAAGGTATGTGCTCTCTGCATTTACAGATAGACCCATTAAAGAACAAGGTTTTTTTGAAAATGAACTATGGAAAATGCACGGCCTGACTGAATCATTTACACTAAATCATAAGAACTGTGATCCGTTCAATGCAGAACTTCCTTTCTCAATTAGAATTTAGCTATGTTCTTGACAAACTGCAATATAAATTATCCGAAGGTACACAACTGGTGTTTATTATATTAAGAGCAAATATGCACATCTGCCATGGCATTACTTATGGAGTCTTGAATGGACTCTAGTGTTACTGATCCCAGGGCTTATAATCGTCACAGTAGGATACTTCAGCAGATGAGCTGACCTTCTCTTGGCAATCTGCTCCACAGTTGTCAAAGAACCAATCAAAATGTAATTTCAACCAAGACAGAGAGAAAGGAGAGAGAGGAAATGACGGGTGATAAGCTCAGGGTGATTCTTCAGAGTGCTAGTAGCAGCCAGAGATGAAGTACAAAGCAGTAGAACATCTCTTTCTGTTGATTATTCAGAGCAGCAGGGTAAAAAGTGAAACTGGATTAGGACACATTCCTACTTCAGAAAAGATAGGTGAAGAGAATATTTGCTGTACATTCTTCCGTGATAATTTCAGTTTGAAAGTGGATGGAGGCACAATTTAACCTTTGCAGCATACAACTCAGAATAGCACAGTACGATGCTTCACTGGAATGATTAATTTATATTTTGAACTCATGAAACAGTAAAAATTGAAGTACTCCAACACATTTAACCAGTCTGAACCAAAATAGTACACAGAGTAGAAATCAGGAACCATGGTTTGCAGAGCAATAAAGCATGAAAATTCAGCAAATATACTGAATATTTCAACATTGGCACAATAACAACTAACTTCAAGGAGACAAGGACTCAAGGAATAATCCCTGCAAGTATGTTCAACTGATAGGACATATACATTTCTGGAATGTAAATGAACTAAATTTGTTTGGCAAAATGAATTTGTCAGTAACATTTTAGAGCACTGCTGAGTGGGAAAAGCATTCAGCTGATCACTCTGACTAATTATGTGGGCAAAAAGCAATTTGAGAAGATGGTGACGGCTAAACTTATTATCTTAATTCGGATTGGTATTTTTTTAGCTATCATAGGTGGTTTTGTTTAGAGGTGTGGACAGAAGGTAGCAAAATTTCTTTGGGAGGCGGACTTAACAAAGTGTAGTCTGTTGATTTACGTGAAAGGATTTATCAAGAGTTAATATTGTGACAAACCAAATCTGGGTTCGTGATAATTAAGACAGTTAATGGAGCAAATCATTTTAGAATGATTCGTTGTCAGATTGTAAATCATGATATGTGTCACTAAAATAATCTAGACTCACAACATGTAAGTATGTGACTGCACTACCACACATCCTTGCACACAGAGTGAGAATTAATTAGTAGAGTGGTAGAGCATATATAATTAAAATGACAGGCTTGAGAAAAGGTGGTGCAAATCAACAGGGAAAAAATTGAATTAGGAGCAAACCTGACTTCTTTATCAAATCCAAAATGAGCCCCAAAGTAAAATGCCACACAGTATCCATGAATCACTACGGACAGCTATCAGGGACAACCAATCTTTCCAAGAACGTGCAAAGAATAGATTGGAAAATCACAGGTATGCCTGAAGGATCAAGTAACTTTTCATCTCGTTGTTTGCCACAAGATACATCTTGTTCACCAAATGAGTTGCATATAAAATAATTGCATCATTGAATTTTGCTCAGTGGTACGAATTATCTGCAATGATTAAGTGAAGAAGATAACTGCTCAGAGTTTCCCTGGTACAATTAAAAAATACGAACACCAGTATGAAATACAAAGCTGCTGGATTGTTGCAAAAATAACATGAATAATAACAAAACAGGAAAAATGGAAAACAAATTAGCGTATGTAGGAATTGCATAGTTAGCAATTAAAAAACAGATTTCTAGTGTTTGTCCATACCGTGAAAGATATTATCTCCAATTGTTCAACAATAAAGGGAACTAAACCGATAGGGGATTATGTAATCCAAATAAACCTGTGATGAAACCGAAGGAGCTAGTTCAGCGAACTGTAGTAGTTAATCTGCTAGTCCAAATATTGTTGTATCGGAAAGAAGGAGCAGATTCGGATACTGAAATCTGTTGAAAATTGATAACTGGGCCACAAAGAAATCTGCAATAATCACAATAATGATTGGAAAGAGAATTAGCTCGATTGGGGACAAAGTGACGAACCTGCACTAGGAATAATGGAGATCTAGTGGAACAACGTCCTAGTTAGCCGAGAGGATGGATCCAGCAATTTCTTCATATATAGAAATGACGAGGATTGGGCCTGGCTGCATAGACAGCAGAGGCATATGCCACCAGCCCGTACTGCATCAGTGCCAATTCAGCGAAGAAGAAGGCCATGTGCTCCATCAGCATTCACCAAAAGAAATCTTGAGTACACGCTTAAACTTGTCGCTTAGCAATGAAATATAATCTGGTGGTAAACAGAAACAAACAAAAGCCATGGCTCTTTACCTCCTTGTCACTTTTGTTATCTGCAGACGCAGATAGCATCATAATGAAGACATATGGTGTAGGAATGGTGAGATTCCACTGAAGCTTATTCAGAATCCCCTTCTCCATTGCAAGAATCTGTTCCCTAGTGTATGCACTATCTGATATGAAGATGAAGTCGTTCACCTGCAAATACATACACAGAGATCCAATCAGAACAAGTCCCTGCTAGAAATGGACAGTGCAGAGCAAAGGGGATAAAATGTTGCTACCTCTGGGGCCCAAATCTCCTCGTACTTGCAATCTATCAGCATGGCAGAAACGGCGACCAGTTGCAGCTCCCTCCGCTGCACTTGCTGCATCGAGAGAGAGATTTGTGGCGCACTTGTCGCTTGTGTGTAGGCGGTGCCGCCGAGCAGCAATTCCAGAGCTCCACGCCCCAGGACCCAGCCATCCTCGGAGGCCGCAGCGTCTCAAATAGCATTGAGGTAGACCACGAGGAACTTAGACAGCCGGTCGTATTCCTTCTCCCTCTCCGCCACCATCGCCCTCGACTCGCTGTTCGCAGCAGCGGCCTCCCTCGCCGGCTGCTTCTTGGTGCTTGAATCCTTATTTTTCTTCTTCTTTATAAGTAACAATAGGACGAGTAAATACTTGACAAGAAAAAAGTTGTCGCAAGGGCGGTGGAACTGAAATATAGTCTATATCGGCTGTATTTTGTGGTGATTAGTATAAATCAGCATTAATGAATGGTGATGAGATGTAAGTTCTGCATGGAAAGTAAAGCCAAACCAAGCTCAAAGCACCGACAGAAGCAAAATATATAATTTGTGGATATCATGATGACGGAATAAAACAACCAATTTGAGATAATTATTATTATTTCAAGTACTCCCTCCAGCCAAATTTATTTGGCATTGTTTCTAACGCCGAATAAATTTGACTAGAGTCTAGAGGTAGTACATCCTAACACCAAAAATCTATCAAGATGACCCTTTGTTTTCCAAGAACTTCTAAACTACCAATACCAAGATGCCACAAGACTACATAGTTTTATGTTCGAGAAAAACGACTACACAATTTTGCCCTGTTAAAAGTAAACAAACAAGAATTCATATGAAGGTAAATAGAACTTTGGTGGCACTCCCTGACTCCAATAAAGAACATAAACATGAATATAATAAATAAGCAAAAGTTGGTTCCCAAATAGTTGCAAAGAAATGTGAAAAGCAAGCAATAAGATTCAGGGGAAATCAAAGGACAGCAATCCTTACAGTTAAGATAATCTTCAAACCCAAAATCATCTAAGGAACCAGTCAGTGCCTCATATCCTAGCATAGATGACGGCAATGCACCAGGGGGCCTTTGGAACCTGGCAACAGATAAATCATCAATCAAAACATCTTTCATGTTAGCCTGCCCAATTAAAAGCAATGGAGATGAGTTGTGCGTGCTGTTTTTCTCCTATTTGCAGTGTATTGATGTGCTAATTGTTACTAGAAGGGGCAGACAAACAAAAACAACATCAAGATACTGTGAATTCAACCAGACCAAGGGATTCAAGCATTCTGAGTGATCCATACTAGAACATACAAAGCATCAACAAAATCTTAGTAACCTGAGCATATCGATATGTGGAGATGCTCAAAATACTACACATGCACAATATTTTGAGAATCAACTATTCTAACCAGGAAAATTGGCGTATATAACAAGAAGTTTCAGAAGGAATTTGCACACTGTCAGCAGAATACAACTGATGACCACCAACAATAACATCACTGATATAATACGCACATAGGAAAAGAGTTGCAGACTTGCAGTAAATGCAAAGAGCTACTACCAGATTTACAACTAGACACACACACACACACACAAAAAAAAAAAAAAAACGAGCTAACTGCAAGGGCAATCTTAACAAACACAGGGAGGATATAAACCACATCGAATTCAAATATGCATATCTCGTGCCCATAATAAGCCAGCCCACTTAAGTTTACGGACCTAACAGTTCCAACAAGACATGTAATACTGCCTGCTCAGATGGAACTACTAGTGCCTATCTATCAACTTGGACAGATGGTGGTATTGCAGCGGAAATTACATGGGGATAGGACAGTGAATTACTTGGAGAGGATTTGGGCATCAAGATCCTTGCGGATGTTGAAGGCGGATCCGTAGATGGCTTCCGCGCCGAACCTCTTCTTGTCCGCCCAGAACTTGGCCTCCTGCGCGCGCGGCGGGGATTCAGCGTGTTAGCTAGGGTTTCGAGGGCGAGAGGGGGGGAGAAGAAGAAGAAGAAGAAGAAGAAGAAGAAGAAGACCTTGTGGACGCTGGCCTGGAGCGGGTGCGGCGGCGCGAGGTCCCCCTTGACGCTGTCGTTGACGCCGAAGCGGACGACGTCGTGGTTCCCGCCGATCTCCTTCTTCACCACGCCGCCGCTCGCCATCGTCGCCTGCGAAGCTCTCTCTCTCTCTCTCTCTCTCTCTTCACTCATCACTCATTCTTTCATTACTCATGGAACGGTCCAGATCATCTCTGTGTAAAATCCAACGCTCAGGATCGTCTCCACCTCTCCACCGCGCCCTCCTCTCCGCCCCCTTTCTCTCGCTCTCACGCGTCCCCGCCCCTCCCCAACCGCGCGCCGCTCCCCAACCCTAATCTCTCCCTCTCACGCGGCGCCACCGCCGTCGTCGCCGCCCTCGACTGCCGCTGCTCCGCCGTCGTCGCATCCGTCGTCTCGCCGCCACCGATCCCCGCGCCACCACCATCGCCGCCGCCCTCGACTGCCGCCACTCCGCCGTCACCCATCGTCGCATCCGTCGTCGCCGCCGCCCTCGACTGCCGCCGCTCCGCCGTCGTCGCCGCCACCCTCGACTGCCGCCGCTCCGCCTTCGTCGCATCCGTCGTCTCGCCGCCACCGATCCCCGCCGCCGGCTCGCCCTCAACCAATCCCCATCACCGTCGTCGCATCCGTCGTCGTCCAGGATTTACGTCACCGTTCCGTCACCGCACCCACACGATGATCCCCGGCGACGGAACGGGTCATGGTGGCCAGGGAGGATACTCGGGCCCGACGAGCTCCCGGCGTCTCAGGTAATGTCGCCGAAGACAAGAACTCCGGTCAAGCTCCTCGGCCGTGAGGACGCAAGCGTGTGAGGGTACCCCTTTTCCCTCAAATTTAATTATGTACTCTGTTACTTAGTTCTATAATTCATCTGCTCGGTTAGTGTCCCATCACAATCGCTTGGTCAGGATTGAATGTTCTGTGGATTGGATTGGGAGTTGTTTGCTCAAGGAGCAATTAGGGAATATTTTAGTTGGTTGCGGCTGCAAATACCATCAGAACAACAATGGAGTATTTAACAAGAGCCAACAGCCTTTTGTTTCAGATGAATTCCCTCTGAAGTCACCCGTCAATTGACTAATGTTAGACAATCTACCATCTAGAGGAGATCATTCCTGAACCCAATATGGTGATAAGCCGCCTCTGTTGATGTGTTACACTCATTGTTACTTGTTCTGAGGTGTACACCTTGCTTGCTATATTGGAAGAGTGAATTTAATTCACATGGATATAATATTTTGCAATTTTTGCATATGAAATTATATGCATGTTCTTGTGATGTGAGAAGGTTAAATTCCTTTGTGGGATGCCCATTTAATTTCTGGTTGCTAATTTTACTGAAGAATGAGAGTAGGTTATGATGTCTTGGGTTTTGATAAGTAGGGTGTAAATTTATATAGTACAATAAACATGCGTGCTGGTCATTCTGTTATGTTGGATTGAAACAAGTGATGCTGGCAATTCAGGTGCAGACCAGCTTTTGGTTCTGTAAATTATTTTCTCAATTTAAATAGATCATGTATTGTGATGATGTGAATACAATATTATGATGTTATCATGTGTTCAACAGAGCTTAAAAAATACTCACAAACTGGATTCTCGTAGTTATACAGTTTAAATAAGTTATAAGCACGATTTGGGTTTGATGTCTTCCATTTGATTTTTGGCGCTCCTCCCTCTTGCTCCGATCTGGCCTTAGTGATGCCGCCCTGTTTTCGCGGTTGACCCCGGCACCAGCCCCTTCCTCTGGCCACGTGCGAGTTCGAGATTCCAAGTCCCGGTGGTCGGATTTCTCAACCCCGGCACTGGCCTCGCACAGGCTGCGATCCGCTCGCCAACAAGGTAAGTCGTTATTGGGATGTTTATATCTGAAAATTTAGATAATTTCTTTTGAACTTCATTGCTTGGTCAACAACATAACCCAGGAAACCAATTAAATTGATAGACATGTTGTGTGCTCTCTTAAGAGATCAACATCCAAATTGACATCCAAGTTAAAAGAAGAATTTTATTATCTAAATCATGATGCCAATATTGAGAGTTTCTTTTACTTTCCGTTGTATACAGTTTCTGTGATGTGTACCGAAGGTTATATACATAATGAGATTTTACTTCAATGGTGGAATTGTGCTCTATTAAACCACATGGAAAGTTCTGATTTGTGCAGTGATAATTTTTCCCTTTAAAAAGTCAAATTTGGTTTACATTTTTATTCATGACACCTGAATATGTAAAATGCCATGCATTAGTAATGTGCAAGCACTTTCAATGTATTGTCTAAACTCTAAAGGAACAACTTACCAGTTTATTAGTGAATTTATGAAAAAAAATCAGATGTTTAATGTCTGAATAAATTCAGATTCTCTTCTCTGCTTCATGCCTTCATCAGGATGAGGTAGTTAGTGTTGTACTGTAGTTGACAAATCGATTTGTTCGCATCGTGATAAGGCGCAGAAGGTAAGGCGGAAATTGCCTTGGTTTATCCTCTCCCCCTAAATTTCCTCTGCTGCGATTGGTTGATTGGTTAATGAAAAACCCGATACTTGCAAGCAGATTCTGATTAGATTCTAATTATTGGGATTTTCTAGAGTTAGTTTAAGGAAAAGTGAGTTAATTATCGACGATGAAATATACACTTCCATGATTAGAATTATATATCGAATAGACAAATATGTGTATGTATTAAAAATATCTGACAAAATGGACTGTATGATTATAATGCCTTTCAACCATTGCTTTGTGCAATGCTCATTATATCTCCCGGAAATTAATTGATTTCTGCTTTTGTACCATGTGCGATGTTTACTTTTAAACTGCTCAGGTTCATTCTATCTTATTTTCTGGTGCTTCTGAAGCGATGTATATTTCTTCATTTTTAAACTGCTCAGGTTCATGAAATCAGGCGATGACTACCTGCCACAATGAGAAGACAGACGGTCAGCCGCCTACACAATAGGCTCCTACACTGCCACCATCACTGAATGCACATCTGGTCCTCCCTTATTTTCGTTGGTATGTAGTATGTACGTAAGAACTAACAAGTTTATTCATTCAAAGAAAAACTAACAAGTTTATGTTAAGCTTCCTTTTTAATAATATTTTACATTACTGATATTTAGTGCAGTGAAAAATGCTGCAAATCTCTGATATTTAGTGCAGTGCAAAAATGATACATAGCTTGATTGGATGCTCTTTCTCATTATGGCCGACTGCCTGATGGAATTTTTTCCATGTGAAAACAAATGTTTACTCTGTTTCAGGCTTGTGTAGAGAAGAAAAGGTGGAATTGTGGAAGGTAATCGCGGGGAGTTTTGGTTCATTTTTTGAAGATTTCTCTAATTGGTACGTACTAATTAACCAATTGGAGTTTTGGTCTCGTTACTCACTGTAAAAACATGATGGTAAAAAAACAGTTTAATCCTATTGGTACTCTTTTATCCCATTGAACATTTTGTCGTTGTGTCATTGACTGCTATCAAAAAGGAAAAACAGTGGATGACTCTTTCAGGAAATATAGGATAGCCCCATTGATGGCACATTTTGAACCGTTCATGATCCCTGATTTATTCTCTTGACCATATTCTGCACTGCTATACTTGCTAAGTAATACAAATATATTTATATCCCTGTAGCATGTGAGTTACTCTATAAGACAATTATTATTTTTACATAACTAATTAACATTTTTACTAAACTCTTTTATTTTGACAATCACTCTAAGACGTATGCAATTGCGTCTTACGAAAGCAAGTGACCCTGAGAGCACTGATCTTTGTAAAGATGCACACAGCTTACTGCAGGAGAGGATAACAAAATAGAAGTCTATAAAAATCTATAGAAGGGATCAAATATGCTTGACTGAATGATAGAGATGGAAAAATGAAGAAGTGATGACTGTTGTTTCACAATGTATTCATTTCATCTATCCTATAATTGTAGTGGTGTGTCAATGTGTGATACTTCTAGATTTTTCCAGCTCCATTTTGCCAGCTCCGTGTGTGTTAATGATTCAGAAATCGTGGAATTGCTTGGAACATGTACTTTATTCTCAACCATTTTTTGTGGAAGTGTGGATGTACATTGTCTAATATATTGGTATTGAAGTGATTAAATATGATTATTGATGGTTTTGAATTAATATTTTAGATAATATAATATCACTGTACTTTGCCTTAATATCTGACCTAGATCAAAATAAAGCTCAATTGGGTGGATTCTAGGAAACATATTTTTACTACTCCCTCCATTTCACATTATGTGTCTAGATTCATTAACATCTATATGAATGTGGGCAATGCTAGAAAGTCCTATAATATGAAACGGAGGAAGTAACGTGTAATTAGACGGATCATATTCGGGCTCGATGCACTGTATATTAGAGGCAGCCCATGTCTGACTCTGACTCAGTTTCCTCTTCCTGGTGGGCTGGTCTAGGCTGGGCCGGCCCAGCCCGACTGCTGCATGGATGGCCAACGAGATATTCGTATTCGGCAACAGTTAATAAAATTCTTAGTTGGATTTTTTTTTTCACGCGAGTTCACATGTCCTCACAATCTATCTACATACTATATGTAGTTTGCACGAATATTAGGGCAGATATATTAGGTGATAACAAAATGTACCATGCATGATGTTTACTTTATATGATTTTTTTTTATAAGTGTAAGATACCTTGTTTATGTAATTTTTCTATTTCTTATATATATAAAACTTTGAGGTTATCAATTTGGACGTGACTACACAACTAGTGGTAACTGGTTTGTCTCACTCCATCTATGAGAGATCCTATCCACCTATACTTCAAATAAAATTTTCTCTTAAACTACTCATCCGATCTACGATTCGATTACACCGTTGTGTTCGTAACAATTAAATCTTTATAACAAGATCTCACGTGATTATATTTTGATGAAAAATTGTAAATTACTTTTATAATATATCTAAATTACTTTTAGATTTCACTAAATTACTTCTTAGACGTATAAAAGTAAATTAATAAAAAATAAAAGTAATTTACATATATTATAGAGTAACTTATAAAAAGAAGTAGCTTTAATGCATGCCTTTTTTCAATGGACGTGACTACATAGCTAGTGGTAGCCACTCCATCTAGTGTCTCCTTTCAACTTGAAAAATACGATAGTGTGTCTTT